GGAACAAAAATTTTTAACCCAAAAAAATTTGGTCCAAACAATTTTGGTCAAAAAATTTTGGCCCAGAAATTTTGGCCCAAAAAAAATTTTGGGTCGATGTTTCGTAGTCGAACTCGCATAATTTCGAAGCGTGCGCCATTATATTCAATTTCATACAAAATCTCGTCAAAATCGTTTCGATGTATTAGGAGAACAGTCACACTTTTACATTTGACAGCGCCATTTTAATTCAAAATTGTGACTGTTTCCCTGGTAGCATAAATGTTTTTAGTACGAAAAATACTCAATATCATACAAAATGTCGTCAAAATCGTTTCGATGTAATAGGGAAACAGTCACACTTTTACATTTGACAGCGCCATTTTAATTCAAAATTGTGTCTGTTTCCCTGGTAGCATAAATGTTTTTAGTACGAAAAATATTCAATATCATACAAAATCTCGTCAGAATCGTTTCGATGTAATAGGGAAACAGTCACATTTTTACATTTGACAGCGCCATTTTAATTCAAAATTGTGACTGTTTCCCTGGTAGAAAAAATGATTTTAGTACGAAAAATTTTGGAAAAAAATTTGTGGTCAAAAAAATTTTGGGAAAAAAAAATTTTGACCCAAAAAATTTTGGCCCAAAAAAAAATTTTTGGTCAAAAAAAATTTTGATCCAAAAAAAATTTTGACCCAAAAAATTTTGGCACAAAAAACTTTGGCCCAAAAAAAAATTTTTACTCAAAAAATTTTGAAAAAAAAAAATTTTGACCCAAAAACATTTTGGCCCAAAAAATTTTGGTCAAAAAAATCGTCCCAAAAATTTTTAATCAAAAAAATTTTGGTCAAAAAATTTTGACCCAAAAAAATTTGGCACAAAAAGTTTTGGTCAAAAAAATTTTGACCCAAAAAAATTTGGGAAAAAAAATTTTGACCCAAAAAATTTTGGGAACAAAAATTTTAACCCAAAAAATTTTGGTCAAAAAAAAATTTTAGTCAAAAAAATTTTGGCCCAAACAATTTTGGTCAAAAAAAAATTTTGATCAAAAAAATCGTCCCAAAAATTTTTAATCAAAAAAATTTTGACCCTAAAAATTTTGGTCAAAAAAATTTTGGGAAAAAAAATTTTTGGTCAAAAAAATTTGGCCCAAAAATTTTTGGTCAAAAAAATTTGGGAAAAAAAAATTTTGACCCAAAAAATTTTGGGAACAAAAATTTTAACCCAAAAAAAATTTTGGCCCAAACAATTTTGGTCAAAAAATTTTGGCCCAGAAAATTTTGGCCCAAAAAAAATTTTGGGTCGATGTTTCGTAGTCGAACTCACATTATTTCGAAGCGTGCGCCATTATATTCAATTTCATACAAAATCTCGTCAAAATCGTTTCGATGTATTAGGAGAACAGTCACACTTTTACATTTGACAGCGCCATTTTAATTCAAAATTGTGATGGTTTCCCTGGTAGAAAAAATGATTTTAGTACGAAAAATTTTGGAAAAAAATTTTTGGTCAAAAAAATTTTGGAAAAAAAATTTTGGAAAAAAAATTTTGGTCAAAAAAATTTTGACCCAAAAAATTTTGGCCCAAAAAAAATTTTTGGTCAAAAAAAATTTTGACCCAAAAAATTTTGGAAAAAAAAATTTTGACCCAAAATTTTTTGGGACGAAATTTTTTAGGCCAAATTTTTTTGACCAAAAATTTTTTTCCAAAATTTTTCGTACTAAAATCATTTTCTCTACCAGGGAAACAGTTACAATTTTGAATCTTTAATCAAAAAAATTTTGGGTCAAAAAAAATATGACCCAAAAAATTTTGGCTCAAAAAATTTTGGTCAAAAAAATTTTGGGAACAAAAATTTTGACCCAAAAAATTTTGGTCAAAAAAAAATTTTGGTCAAAAAAATTTTGACCTAAAAATTTTGACCTAAAAAATTTCATCCCAAAAATTTTTAATCAAACAAATTTTGGTCAAAAAATTTTGGGTCAAAAAAATTTGGGCCCAAAAAATTTTGACCCAAAAAATTTTGGCCCAAAAAATTTTGACCCAAAAAATTTTGGTCAAAAAATTTTAATTCGCCATTTTAATTCAAAATTGTGACTGTTTCCCTGGTAGCATAAATGTTTTTAGTACGAAAAATACTCAATATCATACAAAATGTCGTCAAAATCGTTTCGATGTAATAGGGAAACAGTCACATTTTTACATTTGACAGCGCCATTTAATTCAAATTGTGACTGTTTCCCTGGTAGCATAAATGTTTTTAGTACGAAAAATACTCAATATCATACAAAATGTCGTCAAAATCGTTTCGATGTAATAGGGAAACAGTCACACTTTTACATTTGACAGCGCCATTTTAATTCAAAATTGTGACTGTTTCCCTGGTAGCATAAATGTTTTTAGTACGAAAAATACTCAATATCATACAAAATGTCGTCAAAATCGTTTCGATGTAATAGGGAAACAGTCACACTTTTACATTTGACAGCGCCATTTTAATTCAAAATTGTGACTGTTTCCCTGGTAGCATAAATGTTTTTAGTACGAAAAATATTCAATATCATACAAAATCTCGTCAGAATCGTTTAATAGGGAGTCACATTTTTACATTTGACAGCGCCATTTTAATTCAAAATTGTGACTGTTTCCCTGGTAGAAAAAATGATTTTAGTACGAAAAATTTTGGAAAAAAATTTGTGGTCAAAAACATTTTGGGAAAAAAAAATTTTGACCCAAAAAATTTTGGCCCAAAAAAAAAATTTTCGGTCAAAAAAAATTTTGATCCAAAAAAAATTTTGACCCAAAAAATTTTGGCACAAAAAACTTTGGCCCAAAAAAAAATTTTTACTCAAAAAATTTTTACTCAAAAAATTTTGAAAAAAAAAAATTTTGACCCAAAAAATTTTGGTCAAAAAAATCGTCCCAAAAATTTTTAATCAAAAAAATTTTGGTCAAAAAATTTTGACCCAAAAAAAATTGGCCCAAAAATTTTTGGTCAAAAAAATTTTGACCCAAAAAAATTTGGGAAAAAAAAATTTTGACCCAAAAAAATTGGCCCAAAAAATTTTGGGAACAAAAATTTTAACCCAAAAAATTTTGGTCAAAAAAATTTTGACCCAAAAAAAATTTTGGCCCAAACAATTTTGGTCATAAAAATCGTCCCAAAAATTTTTAATCAAAAAAATTTTGACCCAAAAAATTTTGGTCAAAAAAATTTTGGAACAAAAAATTTTGGGAAAAAAAATTTTTGGTCAAAAAAATTTTGACCCAAAAAAATTTGGCCCAAAAATTTTTGGTCAAAAAAAATTTTGACATCTGCCGCACCTAATACACATCGATACACGCGGTGCCCGTATCTGGCATAATGCATACGTGAGGCTCGATTTTCGTGTTGAATACCACCTAATTGATATCTTCTACTTTTACCTGCTTCAAAACAGGGTTGCTAAACCTTAGAAAATGGCTTGACTTGTCATTCATTACATTTTTGAAATTTTTGGTTATGATTGATTTCATATATTTATGTATGGGTTATAATTAAATTCTAACAGTATTGAAATGTTTTTCATTATTATTAATTAATTTTATTCAATTTTATTTTAAATGAAGAGTAGAACTTCAATTAAAATAATTAATATGAATTAAACTTAAAAATACATCATTTCTTTCATTGATATTACGTGCGATCGATCTGCTCTAAATTTCTAGACATATTCTATTTTTAGAAAATGCATATTTTGAAAATTTTGAATTTGTTTTTTATGTACATTACTATTATGTTGAAAATACGTTATAGATACAAAATTGAACTGGTGGTGTATATGGCATCGTGCCTTAAGTCAAATTGCTGGAACTTCCCGTACCGTAACGTAATGTTCGAGAAATACTGAATGTTTCCAAATAGATTATTATAAATATTGTAACATTATCTAATATTTATAAGAATCATATAAACTGAATTGCAAAGTTGAAATTATTTGTTTAAAGTATATTAGAACTATAATTATATTTTGGCCCAAAAAATTTTGGGAACAATTTTGGCCCAAAAAATTTTGGTCAAAAAAAAATTTTGGTCAAAAAAATTTTGACCTAAAAAATTTCGTCCCAAAAAATTCTTGGTCAAAAAAAAAAAAATTTGGTCAAAAAAATTTTGACCCAAAAAAATTTTGGCCCAAAAAAATTTCGACCCAAAAAAATTTTGGCCCAAAAAAAAAATTTTTGGTCAAAAAAAATTTTGACCCAAAAAATTTTGGCCCAAAAAACTTTGGCCCAAAAAAAATTTTAACCCAAAAAATTTTGAAAAAAAAATTTTGACCCAAAAAAATTTTGGCTCAAAAAAATATTTTGATCAAAAAAAATTTTGACTTAAAAAATTTTGGAAAAAAAATTTTGGAAAAAAAAAATTGACCCAAAAAATTTTGGTCAAAAAAAAATTTTGGGAACAAAAATTTTGACCCAAAAAATTTTGGCCCAAAAAAAAATTTTTTGGGCCAAGTCATAACAAGTTCCTAATTTTAGAAATATAAAATTCTGCAAAAAAAATTCTGATACATAAATTCTTTATTATCACATTACATATAGTTATGCAACATTTAAAATGGAAAATAAACCAGAATTCTAGACATAATTTCACAGAAACACAAACATAAAGCTCATATGCCTATTTGTCAACATAATATTGATTACAGAATTCCCTGAAAGAAGGTATAAAAACAAACACATTCCGATTACTAAGAATTTATTAGTAATTGCAAAATATAAAATGCATATAAACAAAATGTTGGGTAACATATTCTCTAATAAACATTCTTGTAATTTATTCAAGAAAACGTAATCCATTACATTTAAAGAGCAAATCTTGTATACAAATCGACTTTATCATTAAAGATATACATATTCCTCACATTCATAAATCAGATGTATTAAATTCCATAGACAAATTAAAAACTTTTACACAAATAGATAAAAGTTCATTAATAATACAGCTAATATATATTCATCTCATGTGTACACATTGGAGAACCAATTAGTAACACTTAAAAAAAAAAAACATATTCAAATCTATTTATATTTTTCCATATATAAGAAAATGTTATATAAAGTCATTCAATATACATTGTAGTATCACATCCAATATTTACTCACATACCACAAATAAAAATTGCCAGAAATTATATCCAGTCTTTATGCAGCAAGTAACGAAATCCAAATCAAAATGTCTGCGGCAAAAACATGATTATTTTAAATTAGCACACTGAACATAATGCCGTAGCCGAGTAATAAAGGCATGAATTATTGAAAATTAGAAAGTCCTCAGAATCAGCACCAGTTTTGTTCATTTTTGGAAATAATCATTTATGAAAATTTCCTGAATGGATGAAAAAAATATGTGTGCGCTGTGATTTTTATTAAATACAACATTTCCACTAAAATTAAAATTAATTGTATTAAGTATAGAATTGAGAGCTCTTGAGAGATTCAAGCATTTTAGCTGCTTCAAGATTCTTTTTTCAAAAAAAAAATCACGACTTTAAAAAAGTATATATAATTTCGAATTTTTATAACAATACCCACCATAATTTCTCAAAAATTACGAAAGATACAAATAAAAAAAATGTCCTAAAGCAGCCAAACTTAGCTCGAATACATCGTACCCTTTAATTAATGTTAATTAACTTCCCATAGGGTAACTTATTGCAATCGTCCAAAAATCGAAATTGACAATTTTTGCATATCTTCATGATTTGAAGGTTTCTGAACCTTAAAAAAAAAGTGTATGTATGTGTGGATACAATTTTTCGTCCACATTTTCGGGCGCACGGATCAATCCATATGAATGGTTCAAAAAATATTCGATTCCTATTGATAGGGACATGTGCTGATTAGATTTTGGCAAAGGCAGGTCCAGTTTCGGAGATACAGAGCAGAAAATAGAAATCATATGTTTGAGAGAATGGAGCATCCGATTTGAATAACCCCAAAATTTGGCAATTAGTTTTTGACAAAGGCAGATCCAGAAGTTTCTGAGATACGAAGCTAAATGTGCAAAAAATGTTTATGATGTAAGTATTAAATATTAATAACAGTTTATTAACAACTGTACTTATAACACGAAAAATAATAGATAAATATTTTTTTCTAACTAATTCACTCAAAAACTAATTTCTCAATATAAATAATAATCATATTCTTTAAACAATAATAAAAAATATCACCTCTTCAGAAATGTTTTTGATTATGAATAATACTAAAAAACAAACTTGAAAAAAATAGAATAAAATCGGAGCTGCTTGTGGAGACTTTCTGCAAAAAATCTTTACTGACTCTACTATATTGACAGATTTAAAATATATTAAAACTCCTACCTAAAGTCACAATGTGTATTAACTATGAAATCCAAATACTAGAAGAAATAGCTATCTGCTTAGTAATAACTCGCTTAATGCTTTTTTGTTAATCGTTGTTTCGGTTTAGCCTAGGGATTTCCCAAGATATGGGTGAAGTCATTAAAATTAAAAAAATGTGTAAGATGTAGAAAAATAGTTACATTCATTAAAAACAATCTTTAATATTTTTCTCCAATGAAATTTTTAAACATCATTCATCATTAAAACTTATTTTAATTTTGATCTGTATGAAATAATAATATTAAATAGGAAAATTAATACACATTTTTTTTTCTTTCAAAGAAATCCACTCAAAAACTTATTTCCTAATATAAATAGCATACATAGTTTAATCATTAAAAAAAATATTTTTCCCCTATGAAATGTTTCCAATTAATATTTAAAAAAAATGGACCAATTCGGAGCTGTTTATGAAGACTTTCTTTAAAGAACCTTTATTGACTCGGCAGTTACAAAAATTGAATGCTGTCAACACAAATGGGTGAATGTATTCATACCACAATTGTACTCACGATCATTCAAACTAGTGTATCAACATGTTATTACCATACTTATTCAGATATTATTTTCAGTTACTCAAAGGAAAAGTAAATGTTCATCTGATTGAATAAACAATTGTTTATTCCTTATATCTAATATATATATATATATAATATATATATATATATATATATATATATATCATAAGAGGTCAAACTTGCATGATTTTCTTTTTCATTTATATCAAACTGATTCTTGAAACTTTACTAGAAAATATTTGCATAAGATGAAATATTACTTTTAGTCAAAGGCGTCTACCAATTAAAGATAAAAACAAAAGCTTGATCTTTAATTAGTTTAGACTTAGGTCAACTAATTCATATGCTTCTATACCATCTGACCATTTCAGGATTTTAAAAATGCAAAGTCATTTAACTCACTGTGACATCAAAAAATGATTAAAATCAAGTTTTATAAATTTTCATCCAACAAAAATATAGAAGCACATGTTATAAAAAATGCAGTAACATTATTTATAAAAGTTTAATTAGTTTTGTTTAATCCAAATGCCAGTGAAGCATTTCAATCAAATCTAAAAATAAGCTTTCACTGATTAATGTTACTGCTAATTTATTGAATTATTTTTGTACCTGTTGGCTACCATTAGGCTGTTGTGGCATCCAGTTCAAATAATTGTTAGTTGGACCATTCTGACCCGGTTGCTGTTGATTGTTTGGTCCTGGTGAACCATAGTTATTCATTGGGCCTGAGCTAAACCCTTGATTATTTCCTGTAATTGCATTATTCTACTTAATTTAATTGATAATTCATATACAACTTTTTCAAAAATATATACATAGCACTTAATAAAAACTCCAAATATGTAACTTTTATTAATTTAAATTTTAAATATTATATAGCTATATTTCTTTGAATTTCATCAAATTTATAACAGATTAAAATTGACAAAACAAATGAACCATACTAATGGTAATTCATTTTAACTTTATATAATTTTCATTATTTAGTAAACTCATTTTTCATTTTACTATGTTCACAGTTATTACATTGATTTTCAAATGGATTATATTTTCTACATCATTTTGTCTACAATTGGTACAGAATGACCACCGATAAAATTATCAAAAAAATATTCAATCTGAAAATGCAATTATTACCTGAATTTCCTGGGGGTAATTGCTGCTGAAGATTGCCAAGTAAACCTCCCCATCCAACTTGATTAAGGGCTGCTGCAACAAGAGCAGGATTCATGGGAAGGGCATTAAGCGCTGCTAAACCTTTAAATATTTATAATTGAATCTTTTCATATTATACAAAGTTTAATATTTGGAAAGAAATGATTAATCATTCCATAGCTTTGTAAATGTACACTTATTACTGATCTTATCTGTAACAATCTCCCTTAATATGAATATTATGATAAATGTCGGCATTTTTTCACTAAATTCATGTTTATAAGAATAAAATTAGTGATTTTCAATGTCATGTGATTACTATTTTTACTCACCCATATTGGTAAGATTTTGCCCATTAGTATTTTGCCCTTGGGAATTTAATCCAAGTGTTTGCAGGTTAGGCATATCCATATTGCCACGTCCTTGGTAAGAATCTATTTTTTAAAATCATTATTTCTAGCAATTTATTTGAAGTTGATTAACTTAAAATTTATTTCCTACAATTTCAAGTGAAAAAAAAAGCAAAGACAATTGCAATACAAATTTAATTTTCAATACAATAACAAAGAATGCCACTGGTTACTTATTAATAATCATCATGACAACTGAAAACAACTAAAGGTAATAAAATAAAATAACTCAGACAAGAAGTTAAATTTACTATTCTACTGCACTTACCATTACTATTTAAAACATTGATCGGTTGACCAATTCCATTACCAGTATAATTGCCATCATTAGGTCTGCCATTCTGATTCATTTGTCCATTATCTGTTGAAAAATTTAGCACTTAATATAAATCAATAATTGATATACACAAGCATGCCAGCAAACAGATGTATATAATATAAATAAATAAGTAAATAAATAAATACGTGGTCTGTTCAAAAAGTACCCGGAATTACTAATAATTAAATTTCGCGGGTCTGGAGTGTCTGATTGTCAAAATTTTTTTTTATTGTGTTGGTATACATGCCCCTAAAGTATGATGAAATTTTCAGCTATATTCACTGTGTACTTTGTCTGTGGTAGTCGCTAAGGTTCGACGTGTTTTTCTGAGCTCGGCGATTTTTACAATGGAAGAAGAAAAGTCAAAGAATTTGTATTAAATTTTGCGTAAAAAATGAAATAAAGTGTTGCAAAGTGCAAAAATTCACCAGATATGGCTCCGTGTGACTTTTTCCTATTCCCAAAGTTGAAGAGACCCATGAAAGGACGGCGGTTTTCCTCGATTGAAGAAAATCGCTGAGAGTGCTCAAGGACATATCAAAAAGTGAATATCAAGGGTGCTTCGAAAATTGGAAAAAACGCTGGCATAAGTGTATTATATCTGGGGGGGACTACTTTGAAGGGGACCACATTAATGTAGACGAATAAATAAATATTTTTTTGAAAAAACGGAAATTCCGGGTACTTTTTGAACAGACCACGTATATATATAGAAATAAGTAAATAAATAAATAAAATATATATATATATATATATATACGTGTATATATATATATATATTTATTGTGTAATAATGCAATTCGTGCGGTTTTGATAAATAATCAAAGTACATGGTACATCCTATATCTAATAAATAGAATAGTGATCGTCCATCAAATTTAGTGAGTCTTAAGAGAGAGTCTAGAGTATGTCTTAACATCAAAACCTGAATTTATGTCCGTTGATAAGTCAAAAGTGTAATTGAACATTCAAATAAAAGTCACAGTTATCTGAAATCAGTGTTTCAATTATATTTGCGTAGAGGAACTCTTTCAGCCCATACCTAAATAAAGTGCTCACGGTTCCGAAGAGATTACAACCAATGTTTATCATATTATATTACAACTTACTGCTGTGCCCACGACACCAGGCTAGGAGTTGATAGGATTCTACACACTATTGAAAGGATGGACCAAGAAATCTACAACTGATTCTATGTAACAGTAACTTACTAGTAACGACGTGAACCAAAGAGTGGACTGATCTGTATCCTGGAGACAGTGTGGATCAACCCCAGCAACCCCTAACCAACAACTTATATCATTTCAATATATATTGAAGTATGAGAATTTGGTGTTGATATATATTTTGATGAGTTAATTTGATTCGGGCAGTAACACCAAGTAAAAAAAAAAACTAAAGTAGTTTTGAAATACTTAATTTATCCATACGTTTCAGTCTTCGTTGAGACCGTCATTTAATGGAAAAAAGAAAATTAATTATACAAAAATGCACTACACTATAAATACTCTCTAATTTAGACATTAGTTAATCTGTACACACTAGAATGTAACAAAAAATTAGTAGTCAAAAATAATTAGTTTAAATGTTCTAGTTACTAATAGCTTGGTGTAGCGTATATATATATATATATATATATATATATATATATATATATTATAGAATTTTATGATATGAGTGGAACGAATATTAATTGTTTAATATGAACAAAACAGCACTCAGATTTTTTTAACACAACTTTATTTTATTATTACAAACGTTTCGAGACTAAGGTGTGCCTCATCATCAGTGTAATTTCAATAACAGTTATTTATTACTAAACATTCTTTTTAATATTTTATTTAAAACTAAATTTAGACTTTTTAATATAAAACATCAACTGTTCCTTGCATTGGCAAGTGACAATTGTTTTAATCAATGCTTGACACGGTACTGACTGACATGTGACATTTACAGAATTATTTGAAACAAAACTGAAGTATTTAACGGAGACAGGATGGGTAACATTAAAATGTAAACAAAGGAAGGCGCTCGCATACAAAAATCGATAAATATGAAAAAACAGATTAATTTATTGAAAAGAATAAGATAAAAGAAAAAATTATAAATTATTAATGATGTTTATATAAGTGTCATGTAAAATATTTGTGTCGGTTCTCAGATTTATGCTATTGTTAGTCCGAACTATTAACATTGATTCTGCCATGCTCCGTTTAAATACGTCCTTCTCATGGAATAAGATTTGGGGATTGTCAAAATCAAACTTATGGTTGTTGATACTAGCATGATCCACAAGTGTACTTTTAAATTTTTTGTTATCTATTTTTTCACATTGTAATTCATGTTGCCTGAGTCTTTTTTCTAAGTTCTGGCAGGTCTGGCCAATATAAGAACAATTACAATCCAAACAATTTACTTTATAAACTATATCTTTCTTTTTTGTTAAAAGAGTAATAATTTATTAAAAATAGAGTCGCAAAATTACTTGAACCTTTGGATAAGAAACCGGAAGATCTTGGCAAAACAAGTGTTCCTGAAAAAACCTTTTTCATTAATTTTCCATATCTTGACAATAATTTTAACCAATTATCAAAAAGACTTTTCAAAAAACATAATATTCATATTACTTTTTCTTCATTAAAACAATTAAAATTTTTATATTCCAACATTAAAGATGAAACTCCTAGCAAAGTACAGAAGTCGTGGCAGAAATTACATAATTCTACTTACATTATTGTTCAATAAAACTATCATTTTTCTGTTTATATCATACAAAAAAATTATATAAAAAATGCATAGTGCTGACAAGTTAGTTGTATAAATGTTAGTGCCAATCTCTAGTGCTGTGTACACTTCTCTATATGTAACCAACCAACGTAATATCCACTGATGATGACAAATTGAATGTCGAAACGTTTGGAAATAAAGATTATTTTATAAATCTTTGGCTTTTCTTTGTTTGATGTATCGCCCTCAAGAACTCACTCATATATATATATATATATATATATATATATATATATAATATATATATATTTTGAAATATGTGAGTTTGGTGTTGATATTATATTTTGATAGGTTATTTAAAATCGGGCAGTAACACCAAGTAAAGAAAAAAAAACTAAAGTAGTTTTTAAGTACTTTATTTATCCATACGTTTCGGTCTTCATCGAGACCGTCATTCAGTGGAAAAAGGATTAATTATACAAAAAATACACTACACTATTACACTGTGATAAACCAGGCTATTAATAATTGGAACATTTAAACTAATTAATTTTTTTGAACAATTTTTTCTTACATTCTAGTGTGTACAAGTTGACTAATGTCTAAAAACTGAAAATATATATATATATATATATATATATATATATATATATATATTATGTTAAATGTTAAATATGAACAATACAACACTACGGATTTTGACACACACTTTATTCGGTTATAGAACATATAGGAGTTCTGATTGCTGTTCAAACAATAAAAAAAATATATATAAAAAAAATGAATAAAAAAAAATACCTAACTGGCTTAAAAAAATGCTTAAACAATTGGTGTATTTTTAAGGCAAATGAAATATCGGAATATCGGAATATCGGAATATCGGAATATCGGAACATCGGAACATCGGAACATCGGATAATAGGATTATCCGGACTTTCGATTATCCGGACATTCGATTATCCGGACTTCGGATTATCCGGACTTCGGATTATCCGGACTTCGGATTATCCGGACTTCGGATTATCCGGACTTCGGATTATCCGGACTTCGGATTATCCGGACTTCGGATTATCCGGACTTCGGATTATCCGGACTTCGGATTATCCGGACTTCGGATTATCCGGACTTCGGATTATCCGGACTTCGGATTATCCGGACTTCGGATTATCCGGACTTCGGATTATCCGGACTTCGGATTATCCGGACTTCGGATTATCCGGACTTCGGATTATCCGGACATTCGATTATCCGGACATTCGATTATCCGGACATTCGATTATCCGGACATTCGATTATCCGGACATTCGATTATCCGGACATTCGATTATCCGGACATTCGATTATCCGGACATTCGATTATCCGGACATTCGATTATCCGGACATTCGATTATCCGGACATTCGATTATCCGGACGTTCGATTATCCGGACATTCGATTATCCGGACATTCGATTATCCGGACATTCGATTATCCGGACATTCGATTATCCGGACATTCGATTATCCGGACATTCGATTATCCGGACATTCGATTATCCGGACATTCGATTATCCGGACATTCGATTATCCGGACATTCGATTATCCGGACATTCGATTATCCGGACATTCGATTATCCGGACATTCGATTATCCGGACATTCGATTATCCGGACATTCGATTATCCGGACATTCGATTATCCGGACATTCGATTATCCGGACATTCGATTATCCGGACATTCGATTATCCGGACATTCGATTATCCGGACATTCGATTATCCGGACATTCGATTATCCGGACATTCGATTATCCGGACATTCGATTATCCGGACATTCGATTATCCGGACATTCGATTATCCGGACATTCGATTATCCGGACATTCGATTATCCGGACATTCGATTATCCGGACATTCGATTATCCGGACATTCGATTATCCGGACATTCGATTATCCGGACATTCGATTATCCGGACATTCGATTATCCGGACATTCGATTATCCGGACATTCGATTATCCGGACATTCGATTATCCGGACATTCGATTATCCGGACATTCGATTATCCGGACATTCGATTATCCGGACATTCGATTATCCGGACATTCGATTATCCGGACATTCGATTATCCGGACATTCGATTATCCGGACATTCGATTATCCGGACATTCGATTATCCGGACTTTGGATTATCCGGACTTTGGATTATCCGGACTTCGGATTATCCGGACTTCGGATTATCCGGACTTCGGATTATCCGGACTTCGGATTATCCGGACTTTCGATTATCGATAATTATTAAAGAAATTATTTCGATTATTATTAAAGAAATTATTGACAAAAAAAATTGAATAAAGAAATCATTGACAAAAAAAATTTGAAAAAAAAATTGACAAAAAATTTGAAAATAAGAATCATTGACCAAAAAACGGTAAAACTAGAATCACGAATGTTTTGTAACCATTTTGTATAGTTTTGTTCAAATTGATAATTTATTAAAAGTTAACGCAAAGACTACAAAAAAACAGTAATTAAATTCATTTACTACCTTGCCTTGTAATGTCACTTCAGTTTTAATGGCGCCGAATGTCACAATTGTAAAAACTAAAACTTGTTACACAAAATGACTACTAAAAGTTATACCACAAACGTACGATTTAAACTCGAGCACAGAATAATTTAACAAACACAAAACACTCTGTAAACAAATACTAAAACACTGTCAGTTTCGAATAATTCAACCACTAACCTCTCTTTTCATATACCATGTGCACTCGTTGACAGCTATCAGGCAAAAGAAGGGATTTCGCAGCGTTGCCACGTGATTCGTCGGCGACACGGTAGAGGCGCCACCGGTTTCGCTTAGACTATGACAGTTTCGAATGACAGCGAAGCGGCCATGTTGGCGCCAAATTTGAATCCGACGAATTATTATACACATTGTAATGTGCAAATATGATACAATTATTTTGCAATATGCCGGTTACACATTTGACCTGATATAGAAAAGTATGAATATAATACAAAGTTGCATAAATATTTTTTTTTTTTTTTGTTACAATTTATTTTTGTTAATCAAGACTTTAATGTCTTATTTACAAAATTGATATGAGCAAAAAAAATACAAAAATACAAAAAAATGCCATAAATTGAATATAAAATGAAAAAAGTTAAAATAAAAATAAAATAAAAACAGTAATACAAAAATAATAACAAAAATGAACTATGACGTGATTATGTATGCCGCGTACTACGTGCATAAATATGACAATGAAATAATTAGCAAAACTATTATTAATTGCGTAGAGCGAATGTTTTTGGGACCAACATTTGAACAACAAATTTGATATGTTAAAAATATATATATTCAGATAAGATATCACACAGTGTTTGATTTTCACTGACATTAAAAATATATTATTGAAAACTTGATGGGAAACACATATATAAATTTTAGTTAGATTGGATACTGAATACAAACCGAATACAAAATAACTAAACTATAAATCTGTAAAAGGGATAAAAATAATTTTAACTAATGTGTGACATTGTGAAACAACTTACATTTAAACAGTAGTACATACCTGTAATTAACTAATTACATATATATCGTATATACAGTTCTTGTCTATTTAAATTAGTAACAGCTCCAAATATTTATCGTCCGATTAACTTCGATCCTATAGATTGCACCAAAATGTTTACACAGTCTCCTAAAATACACAAAAATAGTTAATTATGCATTTAGACCTGCAGTGTCCGATTTGTAATACCCATTGAATGAATAGTCTAAGTTTATTAAATAACTTGTGAGTTGCTTCTGTCATTCTAAATTCTTTTTAGGTATCTTAATTAAATAAATTCAATTATGTATCTTAATTAAACCTTACCGGTGTTTTGTATGAAGGCATTTTTTCGTCCACGTTTTCGGCCGCACGGATCGACCGATTTGAATGGTTTAAAAAACATTCGATTCCTATTGATAGGAAGATGTGCTGATTAGTTTTTGGCAAAGGCAGGTCCCGCCATTTCGAAGATACATAGCTAAATGTGCAAAAAATGGCAGTTTTTGAATGAACTAAGCGTCCGATTTGAATGATTTAAAGAACTTTCTGCTTGACAAAACAATTGCTTTTGATGATAAAACATTATTACACCTTTTTTATTTACCATAAAATATTTTTGTAATTTTGGATTAAAAATTCAAAAAATTACCCAGGCTAAGCACAATCGAAGCGCCACTCTGGTACAAATATTTACCCAAGTTGTACTGGAGCACTTTTCCAATTTTATGAAAGCTATTGAAAAATGCGAAAATGCCGCCAAGCTAAGCACAGTATAAGTGAAAATGTCGCACAGAATTATTTGCAAATGCGTTTAGACTGTGACTATACGGGAGCACTTTTTCAATTTCGTGCAAATTAGGCAACTATTTTTTTGAAATTGAATTAGAAATGAAATGACGATTGTTAATGTTCTGGAGATAAATTGATTTATGATTTGCTCAGATATAACGAGATAGCAAAAATAATGAAAGTTACAGTATTTGTAATAATATATTTGAAAACGTTTAAAATTTCTCGAATATTTCACTACGGTACGGGAAGTTCCAGCAATTTGCCTTAAGGCACAATGCCATTCACTACTAGTTTTTTTATTAACTTCGAGAAGGAGTAGTTTGTTGTCGCCGAAAAATCCGACTTGCTAATTTTATGTTTTCTCGACGTTTCAAGTAATTTTGAATTGTTTGACACCTAATTTGAAAAAAGTGTGTGTGTGTGCATGTGCCTGTGCTGACTTTTGCCCACGCTTAGACAATACTCAGTGTATGTAATTTACCAACAATTTTGTATTATGTCAATTACCTATATGCTCGCAAAAATATTTTTATCATATCAAGATAAATAGCTAAATAGTGGATTAGTGTTAAACCCTAAGCAGTGGCGGATCCAGCTTCGGCGTCAGGGGGGGGCAATAATTGAAAAGTTTTTATAGTTCTCAATGAGTATGTAACAAATATATATATACACGTATATATATATATATAATATATATATATATACGATAGAGCGGGGCTTAAAGATTTGCGGGTAAAAAGGTCCACCACCAATTACTCAAAAACAAGTAAAGTTAAGGATTTCTTAACAACAATATTTGAAAGTAGAGGGAAAAATGTACAACCAGCCATCACCCTGATTCTTACGACGTTAAAAAAGCATTTTTACAAAAGATAAATGAATTAAATCTTTATTTCAACTCTGCTGGTGAATATTTTGGACAAAATATCAAATCAAGATTATATACAGAGTTATCTCTGTAAAAATGTATCTATAAAATTCATATTTTTCATTGGTTGAATAATGTAGCTATTATTTTGTTAAATCCCTTTAAAATCAAAATAAGTAAATTGAATTGTTTGTCCTCTCGCCGTCCGATTTTACCCCGCCTTTGGGGTAAAAAAAGACCAAGTGACAAATTTTTTAAAAACAGCAAAAAAACACATTTTTACAGTAATAAATTAGCTGGAGGTTGTACTAAAATATAGTCAGATGATTTTTTGTTTAATGTATCTTATTGGTTGTTATGTTTTTCGTTTAGTTTTCACAATATAATTGCTCAAATTTACTTAGCTTTATCTTATATATGTGTATTTTTTAAAAAATAATCTGCGTCTTTGACGTGAGTCAAAATTTGACCTTTTCTCGACGTTTTCTCGTCTAAACCGATGTTAAAATTTAAGAACTATAAAATGAAACTGGATAAGCGCTTGCGTTGATTAGTTTTTTGAGATATCAATTGGTCGATCCGTTTCTTTACTATTGGCGGAAAAGTGCAAAAATTATCGTCCATGTTTTTGTCAAAAATTCTTAACCGTTTTTTATTCGATTGATATCATTTGGAAATAAATGGTTTCTGTCGAAGATCGGTCGAGTCGTCTCTTTTTCATAATAGATTGTCATTTTTTTGGCGATTTAAGTGAAACTTTGCATGGCGATAGAGTTTCTGCTCTAAATGAACGTACAAAACTATATTAAGGCCTGCGACAAGTGGTTTTACTTATGATAAAATTGATAAACGCTAGTCCTTATTGCGATACATCGAATGGCTTTTAAATTTTTGAAATCGGTCCAGCCGTTTTTGAGAAAACGCCGATTTTCGGCAAAAAATCTGTTCACACACACACACACACATACTTTTTCCAAATTTAGTCTCATTCGATTCAGAATGGCTTGAAACGTCGAGAAAACATAAAATTAGCGAATCGGATTTTTTGATGAAAACAAACTTCTCCTTCGGGAAGTTAAAAGTAACTACTATATTTGAAAAAAAAAAATTGCAATAGTTTCCCACTTCGAAATGGTTTTAGCGATTAGGTATACTTCTCTATATCAGTCATTATTACCTTCCCGTAGGGTAGTTATAGTAATGGGCCGAAAATCTAAAATGAATTTTTTTGCATTTCTCGACGTTTTGATGGTTTCTGAACACTTTGGCATACCTCAGAAAAAATTGATGTGTGTGTGTGTGTGTTTTGTATGTCCGTAATTTTTCGTCCACCTTTTCCGGCGCACGGATCAACCGATTTGAATGGTTCAAAAAACATTCGATTCATATATATAGGGAGATGTGCTGATTAGTTTTTCGCAAAGACAGGTTCAGCAATTAAGGAGATATGAAGTAAAGAGTGCAGAAAATACAAATCGAGTTTTTGAGAGAACGGAGTATCAGATTTGATTGATCTAAAAAACATTGAGTTTGTAATGATTGTGAGATGAGGTGATTAGTTTTTGGCAAAAGCAGGTCCAGCAATTTCGAAGATACTGAGCTAAATGTGCAAAAAATGGCAGTTTTTGAGAGAACTGAACGGCCGATTTGTTCGATTCAAAGAACTTTCTACTTGTTTTGACAAAATAATTGCTTTTGAAAAATAATTTGGCTTAATTATTTTTTTCAAAACTTTTTTTTGTATATCAAAAATAATTCAAAATTTAATTTTAATTCTGACTAAAGTTTAAAACTTATATACTTTAAATAAATAGTTTTAACTTTGCAATTCAGTTTATATAATTCTTATAAATATCAGTCATTGTTAAAATATTTATAATAATCTATTTGAAAACATTTAATATTTCTCGAACATTTCGTTACGGTACGGAAAGTTCCAGCAATTTGTTCCTTAAAGCACGATGCCATACACCACTAGTTTATATATTGATTGAGTCGTCTATTTACAGGTGTTAGGATTACTGAAAGTTCATAAGGACCACTCACAATCAGTTTAATTTTTTGATTTTTGAATGAAATTTTGTTCCTAAACTGTAATAAAACATATATTCGCAATACGATTAGAAAATCCTTAAATTTTAGGGTTTTTGACTCCGATCATTCGTCTACAATCAGTTAAATATTCAAGTTATCAAATGTGTTTGGTAACAAAATACATAAATAAAATCATTATGAAGTAATTTTGTTGTTGAATTAGTATTTTATCTAAGTCCTAAAACAGGCTCAGGGGGGGGTCATGACCCCCGTGACCCCCCCCCTGGATCCGCCACTGACCCTAAGTGAGAATACTCTTAAGTTAAATAAGAACATCATCTCAACGAAAAGTTCGTGTTCGGTAGAGAAAATACAAAAGTTCTATTTACTATTTCTTCTTCTTGTTGTTATGCTTTCATAATGCGAAAGTTTTGGCTCTGTTATCGCCGACGGATTATTTGATAACCGAAAAAAACTTTGGGCATTACCAGTTTACCAACTCTTTATTTAAGAGAGATAACTAGTACTATACACACACTGTACACATTCAAGAGAAGACGTGGAAAATAAGAAGGAGATCCAGAAAAAACGTGGAAAGATTAATACAAAACACACACACACATACACACATCCAT